TCATCTTCTGATGATTATATCGAAACAGTGTGAGGCAGCTTACTTTGAAAGTTCAGTCACACGTGAAGAAGGAAATGAACACAAACACCCACAGCATGCCAGCATCAAATTCAATGTTAAGGTCCATGAAAACATGATAAAGATCTCCCAATTAGCTTTGACTATACCTAAAGAATTTCCCACGTCCAAAAAGAATAACACCACACAACTTGTTTATCCCTATGCAGTATAAGAGCAGCCAAAACTTCCAAAGCAAGCTTGTAAACTGGTTCACATCAGTTTTTTAATTGATAGCAATGGTGTCCGAACCAACTTGTGAACACCTTAATTATTCAACCGGGTACTTGTTATCTCCCATCAAAACATGTACTAGGTAACTTTGCCCACCAAGGGATTGGTTCATATCACTCATTCAGGAAAACAAACCCAGGAAGTTTTTGAAACAAGATGACTAGGTCAGTAGACCTAAATTTAATAGGATACGAACTTTTCAACCTAAATTTATCTCTTGACTACACATGACAATCCAAGAGGAATCTACAGGAATTGGGGATATTACGTCCTCATAATATTCTCTCCATTTTCTGAATACAATTCAACTATTTCTTTGAAAGTTTCATGAATCGCAATATGCCCCTCTGCCTCGATTAGCTTTCCTAGTTATATTTTTTTACATTTAGAGAGGAAATACATTAAGCCTCCTTTCCTTACTTTCAAAGTCCTTCAATTAACTTGAGTGGTCTTCAATAACAAAAAGAGTTTACTGCTTCCTTGGGAAAATTACCAAAACACGATTCTAATATATGGTTCTCACATCATCCAATTTCATGTTTTGCTTTTGGAAAGCAGTGAAATGATTTCTGAATACTAAAACCAGCAACCATATTGAAAGAAACAGCTAAACATGTCGCAGAATGTAAATTGGATGATTCTCCACAAGACAGTTATGTAAAGCAGAAAAAGTATGTACTTACCTCAAACCCAAGTACTGACAACTTCTCTTCATTTATTGAAAGAACACAGCTCCTATAAGTTATATAGGTACGTATTCCACTCTTTGACGAGGATGAATCATTCAGCAAATTTCTTTGTCTTACCGAGGAGGTAAGAGCTTGTTCATTGTGCTTCATGACATGTGGCCTTACTGCAGTATATGTGTCCTCCAGAGCAGATCGGTTCTTCTTTCCTTTATTGTTGTTCACTTCCTTTGAACTAGCTTTAATCTCTATACATTTGAAAGGGATACGATATCCAGTTTCACTGCATCTATACTTTTCATCTTTCTGAAAGCACATCGGGAAACATCACAAATTTAACCTAAAAAAATGCAATCTAAACAAGCAGTATCTTAACATCACTTTGGTTACTTGAGACAATAACAATTATCATTCTCCTTCTCCCTATACAATTCAATAAGTGCTCCAATTTACTTTCAATTTTGATAGCTAACTATATCACTTAATATTATGTTGTGGTCAATATCAATACATACAACTTTCTACACGAGAAATTTGTTACGAGTAACAACATTAGATATAATAAATAAATTAAACGGCACTGTGTTGTGCATTTTATCACCACAGTATTGATCAACTACTCCTTGAGCTGAGGGTCTATCAGAAACAACTTCTCTACCTCTAAGGTAGCGGTAAGCCAATAAGGTCTATGTATACTCTACCCGTTTCTCTACCTCCAAGATAGTGTTAACGTCTGCCTACACTCTATCCTCCCCAAACCATACTTTGTGGAATTACACTAGGTATGTATCCGTTTCTCTACCTCACTCTATCCTCCCCAAACTATACTTTGTGGGATTACACTAGGTATGTTGTTGTTGTTGTAGTACTATCGATCAACTACAATCCGCTTCAATTTATACAAATCAACTGTTTTCATTTGCTCTATTCAGGCATATTTTTTCCTAAAACAAGCAAAATTGGAATTCTTCCTAGCTAGTTGATCATGTAACTCTACAAACAAATACGCCTCAGCTAACTGAAAACATAGAGATACATTAAAATCAAAACTGAAACAGTGATCAATTATCAATTATCAATACGAAGGAAAAAAGAGAGAAAACCTTTTCGGAGTAAGAACAAGGAACACAAGGACCAGAAGGAGAACAATCATAAGTGATATTTGTACCAATAGGCGTCTCCTTGAAGCTCATCAGATGTCTACGCCCTATGATTCCGCTTTCATCTCTATGTTCTGCTTCGCCATTAGAGATTGCGTCGAGCCCTAGGGATGAATTTGGAGATGAAGAAACTAAAAGGAAAGAGAAGGAGAAGGAGATGATGAAGAGATAAATCGCCGGCGAAAATGGAGAATCCATAGAATTGATTGTGCTCCGTTTTCTCACCGCCGATGAAGTTTCGATTTGGAGGTTTCTGAATTCGCAGATCTCCTCTAAGTTTCTGTAAATTGTATTACAAACCCCTATAGTTTGTATTATATCTATTTTGTGCGCATAGCTCAATGATTCATCCTATTGCTCTCAAATGTTTATATTGTGGTACATTGCCATATAAAAATTTGTATGAATTTACTATAATTTAATTAAATAGTTTCATAAATATAACTTTGTAAGATATGACATGATTGCGATTATATTTGAACCAAATATGTCCTTAATGTATGTGTAGGTTAATTAGTCTTTTGTTAAGTTTTGCGTGTTATAAAGATATTTTTGGCCAATTATTTAATAACTATAGGAGGATGATTGTGCCAAACAGTTAATCAAAAAAATGTCATTTTAATTTACGGTATAAAAAAAATTAAAAAGAAAAAGAATGTTTAAAGACATGTGAATTAAGGTCGATCAAATTTATTTTCTTTAGGCCAAAACATCAAGGTGGTGGATTACTACAAAAACATAATCTACTAAGAGAAAAATACAAGCGAAGAGGTGTAGATCGCCTTCCCCAAGGAAATTATAATTGAGGAAGATGAAAAGAACGAATGTATTATTTTTTTAAATTTTCTAATGTCTTCTATTCTTATACTCCCTCCGTCCCTATTTAGTTGTTCATAATTCCTCTTTTAGTTGTTCCTATTTAGTTGCCCATTTTGACAAATCAAGAAAGGATAATAATTTTTTTTCTATTATACCCTTATTTAAATAAAGTTGTCATAAATAAAGTAAATAAACTTATGAACTTCCCAGCATTTATTAGTTATCTTGAGTGAATTTATTTTTAAATTGTAAATTGTACTATAAGAATAAAATTGTAACTTTACTATGTTAATCATTATTACCTTAATCTGTGTCATTTCTAAAATGGACAACTAAATAGAAACAAAGAGAGTAATAAAATTTTGTTTACAAGCCAAAAGAGTCGACCCATTAGTACACATTTAGCACTGAAAAGACTACTTACCTAGTAGCATGTGCCTAAATTCTAACATTGTGGTTAATGTTAATTGATGACACATTGGCGCAAGGCTCGAGATTGATTGTTGATCGTCTAAAAAGTCCTTATAAGGATATTTAGTTGTAAGACAGCCTTTTCATGAAAAGGTATCATAGCATGTTCTGTTACAAATATGGACCGGTGCTAAATCACTTCAAGTTACACCAGAAATGAACCTTCCATATTTCCCCCTAACAAGTATCTCTTCGCTCTTAATCTAACCATGTCTCGCAATCTGATTCGCCTTCTACTACACACAATATCTCCCCATACACTATCACATCAGAGGCATATCTAAGGGGGTCACCGGGTTCACGTGAATCCATAGTCCCCTCCCAAGATCATAAATAGTAATGTTATATTTTTTAAAAAAAATTAAAATATAGATGTGTGAACCCACACTTGAAGTATCACATAATATGATTATGACTGGGTGCACTTCTCTGAGAGAGGTTAGAAATTTGAATTTTATATTTATCTTGTTTTATTTTTCTTTCTAAAATTAGATAACACTTCTCTAAGTGGTAATTGGTGTGTGTGTATATATATAAGCATTAATTTTAGACCTATAATTTTAAAATTTTAACAGTTTTCAATAGTAAAAACCTAAATGTCGAATTGATCAAATTTATATCATAGATCGACCTTTTTATAACAGTGCACCCATCATCTCAAAATCCTGGATACGCCTCTGTATAAATATTATGAATTTCACATATTTTTAACCTTCTTCTCCATTCTTAATTTATTCTCTATTTTTTTTAATACTACTTTTTTACAAAAATCCACAACTAGAGGCCACAAGGAAAAGCATAAAAACAGAAAGAAAGGCAAAACAAGAAAACAAGGGAGAAAGGGAGGAAAAGAGACGCTAACTTTCACATGGTAGATTACATAAAAGAGGGACACCATTTGTTAGTATTTTTTTTTATTTTGTGTGGTCCATTAAAGAAAATGTTGACCAATCTAATCTAATTCAACTTCAAGACAAACACATAAATAATATATCACGAGAATCCCACGTTTTAAGGTCGGAAGTAGTGTTTTTCTTTATTATTGTCTTTTGCCTTTTTACTCAATTTTGACCCTTGTATTCTTCCTACAATTTGGTTATGTCTACTTGGAAATGTTGTCATGTAATGCAATCACATTTGCTCAATATTCAACATCTTTCTCTCCTTTTACTAGAAAAGTTATTCGATAAGCAAGATCTTTGATTGACATGTCTATGTCGGTGAAAAAGAACAAGTACTCAAGTAAAATAGTTGAAATGTGCATACACCATGTTTTAAAGTGGTCCAAATTGGAAACTCAATGTTGACAATTACCATAGAAGTTGATGATTGAGTTTAATAAGCAAATAAGGTACTTAATTATTTGCTGCACTTGAGCTTTCGGAAACAACAATTCTAACTTGTCTAAGTTGGGGTAAGGTCTGTGTACACTAACCCCCACTTGTGGGATTACATCGACTATGTTGTTGTTGTAACATAGGATATGGAGAACCACTTTGTAATGTGATAAATAGCATTTCAATAAAGTACTCATTCATAACTAAATCATTTAAACATAGATTGAGTAAAAATGTGTCAAGAAAGTACAAAGATCATGCATTTACTTCTCAAACTATACAGAGTTATCAAGAAATACAAATGCCATAACTAGAATATTCAAAATTCATAAACATTTGTCTAATCATTTCAATGCTATAACCTAATCTTTATGATCATGATTTTCTTTGGTCAAGTTGATTGGAAACTCATCAAAGTGTTCAGAGAAACAATGTTCTTTCACCATGCTCTTCAAGGACTGATACACTGTGTACATCGAAGGTCTATCTTTCGGCCTTGAAACCACACACGAACATGCAATTTGAAGAACTCGCAAAATTTCATCATCTTGACCACTTCCAGCAAAAGCTTTATCAATCGCGTCCTTACTATTACCTGAGCTCGAAAGCTGATTAACCCAATCGACTAAACTACCTTTGAATCCCTCCTCTGCATTACCCGCACCAAGAGGCTTCCGCCCTGTCACCAACTCAAGCAGCACTACTCCAAAACTATACACATCCCCGTTCATTGAAGCAACCAACGTGCTCGAATACTCAGGAGCTACATAACCAAACTCTCCCAAATCCCCATTCACAAACGAACTATCATTTGAGTCAGCAGAACCAATAAGCCTTGCAAGCCCAAAATCCGTGATCCTAGCATCAAAATCATCGTCTACAAGAATCACATTCGAGCTAAGGTATTGATGCACATATGGCGGTTGACACCCATGATGAAGCCAAGCTAATCCTCTAGCTGCACCAGCAGCAACCCGCACCCTTGCTAACCAACCAAGCTCAGAACTATCATTTCTAATACCAGTACTAAGATTACCATGTAAAAGCGAATACAAACTTCCATTCTGCATATGCTTATAAACCAAAAGCCTTTCAGTATCAACAATACAAAATCCCAATAACGGGACTAAATTCGGGTGTCTAAGCTGTCCTAATCGATTCATCTCAGACCTAAACTGTTTTTCACTTGACTTACAACTACTCAACCTTTTAATAGCCAATGCTGATCCATCAATCAACATAGCTCTATAAGAAATACCAGTTCTAGTTGAAATAACAATATTTTCACTAGCAAATGAATTTGTAGCTACTAGTAAATCATTCAGCTTAATCTTATTAATAGGTTTTTGAAACAATGTCACCTGAACAAGCTTGTAAGCTCTCAATTTATCGACCCAATAATCACTGATACCACCACCACCTTTACCGTCACCGAATTCTCTATCTTTCTTACTAGGCTGGACTAAAAACCATCTCCAAATCCCAAATCCAAGAATCAGTGATGCAGCAGCACCAAAAACACCAGCAGCTATAATAATAACAAGATTTTTGTTACTCAAATTACTACATTTAGATCCAATTGGATTCCCACAAAGCCCATCATTCCCATCGAAATCATCTTTCGAAAACCGGTCTAAATCATCAGGAATAGAACCGGAAAGGCCATTGTTGGACACACTGAACCGTTTCAACCGGTCGAGCCGGCCGATCTCAAATGGGATCGACCCAGTAAGTTTGTTGTCATTTAGAATAAGGGTGTTCAAGAATTTGCAGTTAATAAACTCAGGGGGTATGGAACCGGAGAAAGAGTTGCTGGAGAGATCAAGATTGACGAGATAAGGTAACCAAGAACAGATTTGAACCGGGATTGGACCGGAAAAAGAGTTACCAGAGAGATCAAGAGATTGAAGAGAAGTACAGAACTGAAGGGCAGGTGGGAGTGAACCGGATAAAGACATTGAAGGAAGTTGAAGAGAAAGAAGGCGGTTTTCTTTCTCATTCCAGCAAGAAACACCAACAAGTTTACAAATTGAAGCTACAGAAGTGTTGGAGAATGACCAAGATGAGAGCTTGTTTAAAGGGTCAGAAAGTGCAGATTTGATACCTTCAAGACATTTAACATCATTTTCAATGGAAAAAGATGGGGTTAATGTGAAAATGAGGAAGAAAAGAATGAAGAAGAAGATGGGATTAGTTGATTTTGCTGTCATGGTGGGTGGGTTGAGTGTGGAGAAGTGAAGTGAGAAGGGGGTTAGGAAGAAGAAGAGGAACAGAGGGGGAAGAGCAAAAACAAGAATGAAGAGGCTGTGCTTCTTGTCATTTGACTGAGGTTTGAAATGACTAAAGACTGAGAAATTGGGACTTTTGGACTTTTGGTTGTGAGAAAAAGACATTTGTTACGGAGAGTCATGTGTCCGATTCGATTTTCGATACTCATATTATTTTGTAACTTGAATTCGAGATATCTAATTAAGATTCTATCATAATGCTTATTGATAATTAATGTAAGTCTTAATATATAATATGTCCATTTTTTTTTTATGACAAGGGATATTTGTAGCCCCCTTTGGGTGAGTACATAATAAAATCCCCAATCATATGTAATAGCTCGTAAATCACATAGGAGAGGTAACCGCATTAAGCAAGTCTGGTACAATGAACTCGACCTAGAAGGTGAACCTCTTACTTTCATGGGCAAGGAATTTCGAAGTTGAGACCTTCAAAATGAAAGTCCCAAGTCAAACTAATGGGTCATCCCGAAGGGTATATATGTCCATTAAACTTGTCAGTATTTTTTATTTAGATACTCGAACTAAATTTTTATCAACCAAACATATTAACTTCTAATAAAATGTTGCCAACATGGGTTGTGGTGCACTGGTGGGAGTGTTTCACCCTTAACCAGACGTTTCGAGTTCGAGCCCTGGATATGGAGAAAATCTTGTTGGGAGCGTCACCCCCGAATGGGCCCTACAATGCGCGATCCGAATTTAGTTGGATGCTCCAATATGGGCTCTGGACACCAGGTGGGAAACCAAAAAAAAAAAAAAAAACTTCTAATAAAATGTTTAAATTAGATATTTTTATTTCAAATTTTGAAAAAAGCTTTTGGGTGTGTTTCCATTTGTTTGTTCGATAAAAGAATATACGGATCAACTTCAAGTAGAAAATATGTATGTTTTAAGGCTTATTGAAATGAGTGTATATAATTAAAATAAATAACATGTTTTTATATGATTAACTAAATTACTTAATAGAATATTGAGAAAGCACAAAAAATATTATTACTAAATTTGAAGAAAATGTCTATTGAAATATTTTATTGGAATTTGAGATATTTGATTAAAATATGACTTAGTTTGAGTATTTAAATGGAATATCTTGATAAATTTAAGGGGTCGATAATGTATTGAGTCTTGATGTAGGGATATTGTATACCTAATAGATAACTAAGGGCATGTATTTTGCCATGAAAATTGTCAAATTTGACAATGATAGTTTTTGTGTTTAAGTAAAAAATGATATAAATTGGAGTTATTATGATTTTTTTTAATTTTGTTCGCTATTCGAAGTGAAATAATTTATTGATGTTTTTCAAATTTAAATTTAGATTTTTTTAAAATTTGATGATTAACATTAATTTGCAAAATTCAACTCATGGAAAAAATATGGTCAAACACCCACTAATTAAAGTTGAATTTATCTAAAGATAAACTAATGCTTATGTTAAGTGGCGGAGCCAGGATTTTCATGGAGGGGGTTCAACTTATAAGAAGTAAATAAGAAAATGGAGCAAACGGATCAGGAAAGAAAAAAATTATCCTTAACCCATTAAATATAACTTGCCTTGTCATGCCGCATTTAGCGTTTCTTTCTACTTTTACTATGCTTCATTGATTCTTTTTTTTAAAAATGATTTTTTCTTTAATTTTTTATTATTTTACTTTATTTTGAATTTTTAAAATAAATTAAATTAGTGTTCATTCAATCATATGTTACTTTAAAAATTGTTTAATACTCTTTAAAATGTGTGGGGATTGAGTTACTAATATTATAATGCATATTAAAAGGATACATAAATGGCATCGCCAATTTTTTGTTCATTTATTCAATTTATAAGGTTTTCCATCGGTAAAAAAAATGAATAAATCATATCAATGTAGTTTACGTCTCTCTAGAATAGAACTGAAAAAATGAGAAAGAAATATGATGAATAATCATGTCTTTCAAATTTATTCGTTCGATTAAGTTTAACTTATCTTTAAAGTTTTTTTTTCTCTATCTCAATTTCAAGTTTAAGAATAATTGACAGTTTTTTAAAAAGTTCCTTTGAATTAATATATAAAAAGAGAGTTACGTAAAAATAAAATGAGCAATGGAGACAAAAATAATAAAATACAAAAATGAAAATAATGTGCCTTAGAAATTCGAAAAAATGAATATTGAAAAGGAGAAATAACATTAAAAATGAAAAAAAAAAAAAAACAATAAAGCTCCAGCCCAAAAATGTTGAGCCCATCTCAGCCTTGCTATTTGATTTTCCAAATGAAGAAAACAAGAAAATTTTTAGGAAAGTGTTTTTGCGCAGAATCGAACTTATGACGTCCAAGCGAATTCTTGAATCCCCTTTACCACTGAGCTAGCCTCTTTACATGTGTTTAGGTGGTTCATTTTAATATAAACACACATAAAAACAGAATTTGACCTTATATATACCGTGTAATTTTTCGACGAGGGGGTCGGGTGACCCCCTAACCTCCATGTAGATCCACCCCAGCAGTTATGTTGTTTTAGTTCATTCATAACATGTTATAAGTAATTTGTTTAATATGATTACCTAAAGTAGACTTTGAGTTTTGATATTAAAGTTAGATTACTATTGTAATATTTATTTATACCATACTCGATCATGCTTTTAGTATTTTAGCTCTTTCATAGCATGTTATATATGATTAATTTTCATATGATGACCTAAACGAGATATTGTATTTTGACATTAATGTAAAGATATATATTAACTAATTAAAGTTAAATCATAAATATTAATTTATAGGTACACATCACACATTCATTGTTTTATCTCATTTACTTATAGCATGTTATATACAAGCATTTCATATGATGACCTAAGGGAGTAATGCGTAGTTTTCAAAAATTACTTTTTTAAAAAAAATTAATACTCCGTTGGATCAAACTTTCATTATTAAATTACTACAAAACACTCGTGAAGAGACAACCTTATGACGTGACCTAATAGTGAGGTCATAATTAAAATAGTTTCAATGATTTAATAAAAAAAATGAAGAAGAAAAATAGTGTTTAATGAATTATAAGAAACAATTGTCAGATGAGAGGAAGAATCATTAGGTATAATCTTTATTTGGTTTGAGCTCTCCAATTGTACCAAACATCGAATATTATATAATTGAAGTTTGAACATTACAAAAATAATCTCCAATCAAAATACAAACATCCTTTTTTTTTTTATTATAAGGCTAAAATAAGTCTCTCATGTCTATGAGAAGCGTGGACAAATTACCTAATCTAAAATAAGTGAGGGCCATATTGTTGTGAATTATGATACTATTTGGACACCTTTATTGTAGATTTCACAATGCTAATTATCAAATGCAACTATTGTTTTTTAATATTTACTATTTATAGCAAATCTTGTATTGTCACGCACTTGTATTTGATTGGTAGTAATTTCAATTTATTTATAACTAATAATACATAAATTAGTTATACACCATATTCAATATTACATGGTGTATAAATAATACTTAACAAACCATGATACCAACAATACAAAAGCTATTAATACATCATCGATAAACATGATTAGAAATAGAATTGTCCTTAATATATTAAGTTAAATAGTGAATATGAAATAATCTCAACATAACTAATTCTAACATTAGCAATACATTCTATCAAGTTATACTATTCTTATACATTCCATCAAATAACTTCTAAGGTACATCTTTGATAGCTATGCAACTAATTTAACGTTGTAGTATATATATAAAATAAAATAAATTGGAGAAAGAATAAAACATGAAACTGAAGTTTGAGAATTGAGAATCAATCAAGATCATATATGAGTAGAAAAAATAATTATGTGTATCTATCTAGAAAGCCACTTTGTTTAAATTGTTAATTAGCTCAACAAATATAACATGAGGGGGCTTAACTATAAGTTAGAAAGTTCCTCATAAAGCACATGAGACGGATCTAACATTTTTCGTTTAAACTTATAAAAATTCAACAACTTTAATTTAATATGAAGTTGTCAATATAACTATTATATCACATTAATTTTTATATAATTATTTTTTTATTAACTTAAAGTCGCTATGAAAATTCATAATAATCAAATCTTAGACCCAACTATATAAAGTGTTATGATGGATGAAACATGGGGCTTATATGCCTATTCGTTGGTTTTTTCAAGTAGTTCATATATTATTTGAAAAATTGCTTGAAGCATATCAGAAATTGTTATAAAGTATGACTTCACAATCTATATAAACATGACTTGATATATTTTCTATTATTGAAAATATAAGAAGAATTAATGATTGATGATGTAATTTTTCCTACAAAAATTATATATTTTCTTTTTATTATTATTACTTTCATACATCATTATCTCATAATCGTTCCATCAAAGAGAAGCAAATGAAAAACTTTCGTAAAAATTCTCATAGAATCTAGAATGAAAAGAACTTATCAGACACAACAACAACTCAAATACACAAAAGTTAGAATTAATGCTCTCTCCCTAAGAATTTGACAAAGTTGAGATTAAGAATTAATTAAAAGTTTACAAGTGTCGACTTAGGATTCTGTCCACTTGTATATATGTAAAACGTCTAATTAAGGCATCATTTAATTTTTATTGTGTCATTAGGTAGAGACCATGTGTTTTGCATTTACTTTAAATAGATTTGACTCTCTTATGTTATTGGAAACTTTTTGTATATATTATTATTATTATTATTATTATTTTGCTAAATGTGTTAAAGAATATATTTGTTTGTTATGTGAAACTTACTTTATATGGTTCTTAATTTTCTCAAAACCATACAAGTGTTTTAATATAATTACGGTTGCTTTCATATTTTAGTGGTATCCTTTTTTTGTCAAATTTTGTTTTCTAATTGGCTAAATCTTAAAATTGCAAAAAGATATACACTCTTTGTTCTGCACTAGAAAATAAA